AATAGAGATTTGATGATTGTTCCGAACGAGTCTCAAGGAACCACTGGTGAAATCTGTTTCCCCCTAGCATCTATTACCGAAACGAATTTCAGATGCTTCTATCTACGTCTTCCATTCAATATTTCTCTTATAATTTCAAACTGCACGGCAATCTTTGTGTCTATTGAGCGTCTTGTAGCTACACTGAAGACGAAAACCTACGAGTTTGGCTACGAGAATGTGGGATATAGCTTGGTGCTTCTGCAGGTAATGCTCTCAGACAACAGTATCTTTGCCGTATAAAGGAGATTGCTAGGGAATTCGATGCTCATGCTATGAATTCGAGTGCAGTTCCCCGATGGCGTTACTCGCCACATTCCTGGTATTGACCACGTTTCCCTTATGGAATTCCATGAAGGAGAAGCTACCGGTTGTTGCGTTTGCATTCAGAGCCAGATCTGCGCAGTCTTCCCTGAAATAATACGCAGTATACCACATCTCCCGAATTTTCACAATGCCATAATGATTCCGCTTCTTCTCACATCCATTCCCAAATTAGTGCGAGCAGAGATAGTGATGGCTATCCAATACTATACTTGCTGCGCTGTGACATTTTGTTGAGAAGACATTTAGCCCGTAAATAGTACTGGACTTGCCTGCAAAGCAAGTGGGATTGAGGTCGGCTTTCAATTTTCTGCTATCCTTCATATCAGTGCGGGGCAGCTGTTGTTTTCAGACCAAAGAAATGCGGAGAAGCTTTTCAAAGTTCAAGTTGGACACCCTGAGCATTATAGTAGCCGTGTATACATTCAAATAGCCTTGGCAGACAACTACCAGCCACAAGCTGCTTCAAAACATCTATGCTGCAGTTTGTTTGCAACCCTGAAGGATGCAAGTGTCAGCAGTAGAGATGGTTGGACGACTTGTTATGCTAGAAGACTTTTTATAGAAGTGATATAATCATTTTATGACCCTCCATTGCTGACTGAATGGGATGTTGTGTGGCAAAAGACGAGGCGCCGGGTACTACTCACTGCCTGCCTCCGGCCACGCAATAGTTATGACAGGAACAGTGGACGTATGCTTGTATGCAGCGCCGGTGAATTGCTCCCAAGAACAGGCGGGTGGAGATAGTGAAACTGGCAGGAGAAGTGGGAGCATAGGTACACATAGCACACAGCAGTTGAACTACGTCATTAGCGTAGGAAGGATGAACAAAATGCTCTGCGGAATCCTTGAAAGCGGGAGATTACATATTTGCCTTCTTTTAGCTTTGCATCAATCAATCCTTTGTCCTGCCTGAAGAGTGGACTAATTCCAGGTGACTCTGGGTAGCTGTCTTCTTGGTATTATATACTCTCAGACAAAGCTGAACTTAACTCCTCTCTACTACTGCCAAACGACGTCAAGATCGAATTTCATGTGGACGATCTACCCGTTTTGTGCTATGCTTGCCATGCAGCTTCTGGCTGTATTCATTTTCGAGTTTGCCAATAGGAAGAATAAGGTGGGGCTTTTCATAGTCGAACAATTACATTGCAGCACATGTGAAGATAATCGATTGAAGACAGACTGCTTTGCAGTGCCACCTGATGATGGGCGCTGATCTCGCTGATCTCTCCAGCCGTTACCAAATTGAAGAAAATTCGTGGTTTGTTGTTATTTTTTTCAATAGGGACCTGACCAAAGCACTAGGTAGCAACCCAAACACTGTGCATTCTTTTCTAATAGTCTCCAGCTTCTCTCTTCATAGAACCTCGGCATCGTTGTTAATTGTGTGTAATTCTTTTGTGCCTGCGAGGTTGTTAGGTGGAACTGTTTATTGACGGCCTAACGTTTCGACCAGATCGTCGTCCTCGGAGGCCTGAACATCGCCCAAGATTTTTAATTTGCCTTCTAAACCGTCAAACGTGTCCTAATGGTAGAATAGGAAATTGCGCCAAAGTTGGTGTGATCTACCAACTTGAATGCCAGTCATGTAATGCAACATACATTGGGGAGACTGGAAGGCGCCTAGCAACCGCATCAAGGAACATACTTGGCTGGTAAAACCGGCGTTTAACCTAACATCACCGCTGGGCAAGCATCCGATCGAAGAGCATCGCGGAGATCACTATGATGTGAAGTGCAAAATTTTAGCGCGTGAGACCGAGCTTTCGCGGCCAGGAAAGCACTGGAGGCATTCTGGATTTCTGCTAGGAATCCTAGAATGAACAACCCAAATGACTGCTTATCCATAACAAATGATCCCATGCCATTTCTCACCGCACTGCCAGCTACTGTGAGCATGTTGAGAGCCGTGCAAGTCTTGAATATGATTACTAATGTAGGCACAGTCAGCAGATGGTCTGCAGAAATACTACTAAACAATTGACTGGGCGGCTTCTTCCGCTCTTGCCGCGGTGGACTTGGTGAGTTAGTTATACATACGGGAGTTTTTCGGTTGTTCCTTGAAGTTTCGTCAGAAACGCTAGGAGGACGAGGCGTTTGACGGTTTAGAAAGCAAATTAAAAATCTTGGGCGATGTTCAGGGCCTCCGAGGACCGACGAATCTTGTCGATACGCTAAGGCGTCAATAACAATTCCACCTAACAACCCGCAGGCAACAAAAGAATTACACCCAAACACTCTGCATTCAGTCCTCGTATTAGTTAATACCTTTAGATTTGGAAGGGTGTTCCAGAGGGTCGAAAAAGAAACGTTTGACGACCCAGACAATTTTCCTCTAAATTTAATTCAATTTGCGGAATCTTCCAAATTAACCTGGTTCTGACTTTATGAGAAGGCATATGTGAGCGCATAGGAGGGCATCAATGGGGCGTCCACTTGCAATGGGACACAACGTTCAGGGAAATAAGAGCTGGCACATCCATATAGTTGTTTCAATGTAGGTGGCCGCCACATACTCATATTCGTCCCTCTGACCTGACGAGTTGAGAAGAGAAGTAGAAGGCGTCCCCTTTTGAGGTTCCACTATCGAAGGAGCCTCCATGACAAGACTCGGAAGAAAGAGGAACTCGTAGGCTGACTTCTTAGAGGACATACAGGGGGGAGGCAAAAAAGACACTTCGGCCGAGTCACATATCAGCAAAGTTTTCGCAGCCCAGACAGAAGACGTGGAGAGTACCAGGGCGAAGATACTCAAGATTTTCCTCTAGACCTCCTGGGGTTCACCTTACCTCAAAACCTGCAAAACTTCTTGTATGGAGTCACCCATGGATAGCTACCTGGAGACCAGTACTCTTGATCTGGAAGACCTCCAACATCGAGCAGCTCCGACAACGTCGCTACGGTCCAGGATATCATCTTCACCGCAGTCGCCAAGGCGCGGAGTTGATGGTATGGACCGGAAAAAGACCGATATTTTCTTCGTGGACCCGGACTGAAGGTGAGCGCTGACGGTTACATCGACCAACTCGTGAAGAATATCCTGCCTTCATGTCGTCGCCCGTACCTTCTTGGAAACTTTGTACTGCTACAGGATTGGGTGCCACCACATGGAATCGAAGGGCGTTGGAAAAACTCTCGCCTACTTGGAATGGAAGGGCGTTGAGTACCTGAAGAAGATGGAATATCTAAGTGTGTCACCTGACCCAATCCCCTCGATTACCGGGTCCGAGCGGAGCTCAACAGGGTGGTCTACACGCGGAGAAAACATCCAGCTGAACTCAGGCACCGAATCACGGTCGCGTGGCAGAATCTCTCGATGGCGCTCGTCCAGAAGGCTGTGGCGGAGTATCATGATAGTGTACAATGTGCTGTTGAATATGGTGGTGGAAATGTCCAATCAGAATTTATAAAGTGTAACTTATATCGCCTTGAAAGTCAGGGAAGAAAAGTGTCTTATTTTTCCTGTATAACCCTGGTAGTACCCTATCTAGATGTCGCTTGTTTCAAACCAGGTTGCATCTTTGGCAGAACTAAGATTCTCCGTTGTTGTGTGAATACCGAATATTCATATAATATTTATTATACAACAAGAATCGGAGAAATGGCCCTTGTGGCCGCAGGACTTCGGTGGACTGGAAGCGTGGCATCAGGCCCGAGGCCTGGCAGGGTGACGGGTACGGTCCAGAATGACTCCTGTGAGGCTCCTCCTCCAGATCTGCTCGTCGGGCATTCCTGAACGGTTCACGTCATCATCGATCCTTGGCATGATTCATCCGAATCGCGCTGATCCCTGTCGGAGCCGCTAAGGCTCTTACACAGAGAAGAATTTTAGGTTCATGAGATGTATCATAATCTGTATTTTAATTCTCTCGGGCTCATAGCTAAACGGATTCTTTTGAAACGATATCCACTCTTCGATACGGAAAGAATCGACGATTCTGCGACTGAAGATTATTCCCCGGATAAAACAGCTTAATTGCTTTTTTAATAGATTTTTTCATGGTCAAAAGCGCATTAATATGTCCTGAGCCCAATATGAAGTAGATGCCTACCCAGCATGCATGGTTCCGAAGCTTCGCATCAGTGTATGCCATGCTAATTGTCAGGCTCTTTATTTATTTATTTATTTATTTATTTATTTATT